TGCTTGTTAATCTCACATGTTTGAACAGGGATATGTGCGCCATGTACATTTTGTCACACTACAAGGTAATAATGCTGGGCCCTTCTCAAAGCCTTAATCATTTTAGTTCTGCTTCAGTAGTTCATATTAGCAAATAAATGTGCACTTAATCAAATGACCACAAACCAAATGAGACACAGTGACTATGGGACATTAGCCAGCTCTAAAGCACTTTTAGCTTTGTGTTAGGGAACATTTACTGTATTGTCTTATCATATCAACCATGTTTCCAGCAGCAGCAGACAGCTGTTTTTTTGCTAAAAAGCTCTGATAAACCCACTGTACACTACCTGCCCACCACCAAACTGAAAAAAAAAGTTCCAGATTAACGTTAATTGGATAAACAAAATAGCAGCTGAAACAGCCAAATGTTTTTCTCAGGAGCTGCTGCCAGAGAACCGACATAAACAGAGTGAAAACTGGACCTACATTCATCAAGTCGCCAGGCACGTGGCAGTGGGTTGATAACGTTGCTTTCTCTCGGCTAGAGATCTGGTACACGTTCACATAACTTTAGCAAATTGGTAATATGTGAGTTTTATTAATGCACCTTTAAAAATACACTTTCAGGGTTTGAACTGGTAAATGCAGTGCAGGTTTTTTGCCCTCAGATACACGATTCAACATCAAAAACATGTCAGCTTGGATGAGACCCTTTGGTAATGGAGGCAGCGTCTCTAACTACGAGGTGGCCTCCCTGTATGTTGCTGTGTATGACCATAAAAACTGTTATAATACACTTCTCTTCCTTATATAGGCGTGGTGTTCCCCTACCACTCTCAGAAAGGACGCTACCATTTGAACTTCTTTGGAGCCCAGCAAGCATGCCAGGATCAGGACTCCACTCTGGCTACATTCGAGCAGCTTTTCACAGCGTGGGAGGAGGGGCTGGACTGGTGTAACGCTGGCTGGTTGGCTGATGGCACAGTGCAGTATCCAATCACAGTCCCACGCGACGGCTGTGGGGGCATGGACTTAGCTCCTGGTTTGCGCAGTTACGGACAACGGCATCGCCTCCTCAACCACTATGATGCTTTCTGCTTCTCCGCCGCTGTCAAGGGTCAGTATGAGTGTGTGCGAATGTTTTAAACCTACAAATATCACCTAAAAACAGTCTGTTCACTCATGATTCTCTCCTGCGTTAGGGACTGTGTACTTCTTGAAGCACCCGACCAGGCTCAACTTCACAGACGCGATCCAGGCTTGTGCCACTGGTGGAGGTCAAATTGCCAAGGTGGGCCAGCTGTACGCCGCCTGGAGGCTGATGGGATTGGACCGCTGCGACGCTGGCTGGTTGGCTGATGGGAGTGTCCGTTATCCTATCACAAAGTCCCGGGCTAACTGCGGCCCACCAGAACCAGGGGTGCGTAGCTTCGGGTTCCCCCCTCCCTACCTGAAATTTGGCGTCTACTGTTATTGGTAGACACTTTGGCTCAACACAAGACAAAAACGAACCATTTTAAAAGCATACTGGTTCAACGCTCTGCCTGAGAGGTTAGAATTAGCCGTAGTTAGCCAGTTTGTTCATTTCTGAGCTATCTTGAGGCCATTTAAGTTCATCGCGCTCCACCTCCATAAGACTGTAACGGTAGTGTACTTTATTACCAGTCAACAACTGTTCAACTGTGTACATCGATCATGTGTTCCCTCTTGTACTTAGACAAAATGTCTACACTATATGGCCAGAAGTTTGTGGACACACGAGCATTACACCCTTGTGTAATTGTTGAACATCTCATTCCAAACCCGTGGGCATTAATATGTCGCTATAACAGCCTCCACTCTCTGTGAAGGCTTTCTACAAGATTTTGGAACTTCTCTACAGAAATTTGCTCTCATTCAGTCACATCGTGTGGACGGCTACAGAAGTTGGGTGATTAGGCTCACGTTGGGTGTTCCAGTATCCTAATAGGTGTTGGATGGAGGTTGAGGTCAGGGCTATGTGCACACCAGTCAAGTTCTTCTACACCAATTTTGAGAAGCATTTCTTTGTGGATCTAGATTTGTACACAGGGGGCATTGTCATGTTAAAATATATCAGAGGACCTTACCCAGAAAGTTGAAAGCACACATTGTCTAAAATGCTTTTACTGTAGCATAAAGGTTACCCTTAATTTGACCTAAGGGACATAGAGATGAGCATGAAAAACAGGCCCAGATCAGAATTACATGAATGTGTTATACTGACTGGGGTGTCCACATAATATTGGCCATATAGTGTATAATAATAATAAAAAGAGAACATCTTCCCATCTTCTAGGATTTAGTTATATTCGCTGCAAGTTTTCCTCGCAGATCAGATCAAGCTGATCTTGCTTCAAATTATTTGCAGCGGATTTGAAATTTGGCTGTCCAGAACTGACTTTAATTCACAGGTGATTCATTTCAAACTCAGGGAAGGTGTTCGGACTCAAATTGATTCACTTCTCTCCAACCATACCTCAGTCCTACCCTGTATTTATTCAACCAAACGTTTTACATTGTCGTTTTCAGCAGTGACCTCCATAACATTGCAGTCAAACAGCAAAAAATTAGACACTCAGTCTTGGAGGCTTCATACTACAACATCAAACTTCTGGGTTAAGTGCCTTTCTAAAGGGCACCTTGAGGGAGTGGAGAGTATTTCTCATTATTTTCCGGTCAAATCTTTCCAGTTACTCCATGATTGTACACTCACTAACTATAGGTTATTTCCACCAGAGACTCTTTCTGTCTTTCTAACACTGTGAAATATACTGGAGTCTTTGTTTTGCTCCTGAAATGTCTGCGTATCCCATTTTATAAAGTATAATGCATCTCTTATTTCATTTTTCTGGGTGATTAAGGGTAGTGCTCTGTGATGGAGAAAGTTATGAGTGAGTATCTGTATTGTTGTGATATTTAAACTACCTTGTTTACATCCATTGTGGAAGAAGAATCAGTGTTTCATTACATAAATGTACTTTTTTTTGTTTTTCATTATATATGTCTATGCATTTGTACTATTTTCTACAAATTAATAAAAACATTAGTGTAAAGACATTTTTATTTGAGGCACATTTGTTAGAAGAAATGAACTGATAAAAATGTAATTTTAATTTAATAATGAAAATTATACTTCAAACTCTTAAAGGTCCAGTGTGTAGGATTTAGTGGCATCTGGCAATTTAGTTGCAGATTGCAACTCTCTCGCTTCACCCTGCTCTTCGAAGCGTGAAGGAGAAACTACAGTGGCCGTCAAATGTGTGAAAAATGGTAATGGCAAGTAGAAATGTTGAAAAGTCAGGACCTCACCAACTTAAATAGCATTTAGACAACCAACAGGCCGTTCCTACAGTCACGGCTACAACTCAAATGAATAACATGTTCAGAAATCCTTTTTGATGCCCTTTAATTGCTGGATTTATGAAATACTTTTCTCAGATTTTTTCAGGTGCTTTCATAAACCACCGCTGCTTAGTGTGCTCTCAAGGTGTAATACAGTTTTACTTACAGTCCAAACGGGAATGCCAGGGTAGAGAGGTGAAATGGGTCACTGACCCATACAAAACAGCTACTGTATGTGCACAGCGTCACTCTGTCTGGGCACGATGCACTTTTTAGATGAGTGGGGTCCAACACGTTGCTACGCCCTCCTGCATCCGCGTGTGAACAGAAGTCGCAGTGATTATATGGCCAACAGGTTTATAAACACGTCCTATTTACACCTGCTGGCCAAACATGAGTGGACACATACACACACACACACACTCACACACACACACACACAGGGATTACATGCCTACACACACATCAGATCGCAAACACGGACAGTGTAACCACACATTGATACAGGGCTACTCTCCCTGTTACACACACACACACAGAGCAGATCTTTTTGCGGTGTCTGTAGCGATGAAGGTAGTCGCTGTAAAGCCTGATAAAGGAGCTATTTACTATGTTTTTTTTCCACGGTTGAGTTCCACAGGAATGTAAAAAACAAACTAAATGCCAGGTTTGTTCCTCTGGCTTAGAGAGTTTACCTCAAATTTAACTGCTCCAGGGAAATCTCTCTTTTCAGAAGTTAGTGTATACAGTGCAAAGACCCCTGCTTAATAGAAGAGTATGTGTGCAGTGACCCCTGGGTAAAAACGTGATAATAATAATGTCACAGAGACGGATGATTCCAAGTTTTATTTGGCACAGCACAGTACAGTATACTGCATGTTCACATCAGGATTCGGGATCGAAACAAAGTCACAACAAAAGTGTCTGTTTGCAATGTTACACATATTTTGGTTTATTTGTCAAAAGATACGTCCTACACATAATCACTCAAATGTTGGCTTCATGTTGAAATGTGAGCTTATCCTGTGGTGTGATAGATTTAAATAATCCAGCTCACACCAGGAGCATCCAAATCAACATTTATTTACTTGTACAAATCTTTGAGCGAGCTTGGTGTTTCACTTTGTGGCGTCATCAGGCTCACTCATCCACTTTAATACTCTGTAGTGTGTTTACTGAAGTGTGTGTGTGTGCCTGTGAGTGTACCAGTTTGACTGTGTGTGTGTGGTTGTTGTTTCAATGTTTGTGATTTTTTTTTTATGTGAGAAGTCAGATATGGACACAAGTATCTGCTCTCAAAGTGAAGCAAATCTTGACCGTAAAAGGTCATTGTCAACATTTTTATAACATTCTCTTTCACCTCAACCTTCTCCATTGTCAACATTTTTTATAACTTCTACTGCTTTCACAGCTTCTTTTCCCTACAATTGTGTCATTTCTCAAGTTTTAAGAAGTACATTTCGGTTGATAAGAGCATGTCACATGAAATGCAACCAGAAATCTATGTAAAGATGTCAGAAGATTCAATAAAAAAAATCCATTTGTGTCTTCGTACGTTCAGCTGGCTGGTCAAAATCAGTCTTGCCCCCTTGACAAGTAACTCATAACTCCAACTTACCAGTTAATTGAACTAACAAATCAACAAACAGGTAGATGATTAATTAATCAAACAATGAAATTGTCTGTTCTGTGTAAGTTATTGACAGATCCTGCTGTTCAGAGAATTGTAGAGAGAATATTTACAGTGAGAAACTCATCCATTACAGCAAACACTGAATCTTATAAAGGCATGATTCGCATATCAGACTAAGACACAGAGGTCATTGATTGCTATTGAGAAGTCACAAACATAAACCCCAACCTGCACAACTGGGTGTGCATCTTTTGCATCAGATGACCCAATGAGGTGGACTTCAGCACCGTTCTGGAGGCTCCTCCAGCCAGCCAATTCAGTGTCATACTGTAGATTTCACTTGTTACTCAGAGTGCTTCCCTTGCCATGTGTCAGCTACAGATTTCTTTATGTGTGTGTGTTGTTTTTTTGTTTGCTTTTTACTGTTTAAGATGCACTGGATTCAAATGATTAGCACAGAAGTGACTGAAGACTCTGAAAAGTGCATGAGTGCTGACTATTTCAATCCAGGTCTTTTGCAGTGACTTTAATCACATCTTGAAGTTGGATTTCTTTTCATCATCAAATGGAACAGCACAATCATTTCAGTATATATGATGCCCTGGTGGTGTAGTTGCACAGCGGTTCTCAGACTTGAGGTTGTGACATTATAATTTGGGGTCTTGAAAGATGGTTTATGGTTTTTAAGACTAGTTCTACTGCATGCATTGCCATGTTTTTTCCCCTGTCTTTTACTCAGATTTGGGATTTTATGCAATGCTGAATTTTAGTAAGTCTCAAGGCCTCCTTTGATAATTCAAATAAAACAAAACCTAACTTCACAATTCTCCATGTTGTAGGTGAGAGGGGTAACATTGCTGTATTTTAAGGGGTCACAACCTTAAAGTATGAGAATCACATCCATTGCCTATAATGTAAGAAACGGTTTGTTTCACCAGTCTAAAGCGCACAGTTGTAGTCCTTAGAGTCTAAGACCAAATAAAAGAAATAAAAAAATCACTAAGAAACACAGATCTACAAAAGTACCCTAAAAATATAGCAAAAGTCTATTTAACAATGCGTTTTACTTCAGAGAATCCAGCTGCAATCGAAAACACGTTTACTGGGCTGTTTTAGACCTCTTATCACTGTCTGTCAATTGTTTCTATCTTACTTTGTGTCCAGTGCTGGAAACTGATTGCAGAAAATTTCCTCTTGTGCATTGAGATAAAACTTCCAAATACTGGGTCACAGCTATAAATTAGATGGTATAAATACACAGAAAACTGCCTTTAGAAGGTGCAGAGTGCACTCTCCAAATCGTCAGTCAATTGCACTATCACTGTCTACATGTGCTTTAGTGTATGTATACACATGTTAGGGAATGTTATCTTTTTGGTCGGGCATTTGCATTGGTGTCCATGCTTCTTTACAGGAGGGGTCCTTTGTGGCTCTCTGTTGTATGTCCTTTCATTCCTGCTCAGAGCAGCTTCCTCTGTTCCTGCTGGCTGCTGACCCCTTTACTTCTTCTCCTGAGCGATCTTTTGTGTAGCCTGTTACTGTTGGTGCCGGCTGGGGGAGAAAAGGTACGCATACTGATGACATCATGTACACATAAGCTGCCAAGACTGATAAATTACCCTGTCACAAGTGACTAGTGTGACTAAAGGATCCAGTTCAAAAGCTACCATGGACTCTTCATCAATGAGATGTTCAAATGTTAGCTCTGCAGGAGGTGTGTTTTTCTGTCTCCGCACTGATGCTGAGTTTCACACCCTTTATCTTTTTCTTTGCCTCATTTCTTTCACAGTTTAAATCTCTCTGCATTAGTCTGGGTGCTCTGTTTCTTCTACATTTCTTGCTCATGAATGAAGTGAATTGAAAACCTGCACTAGGGATGCCCAGGTAGCCTAGGGGTTTCAGGCATTGATAAAGAACTGCAAGTCCGAGTTCGACCAGGGACCTTTGTTGACTTGGGACCGACTTCTATCTCTCACTGACACATTACTTAATAGGAGACTTCACCCATGTAATTGCTTTGTTTACATTCATTCACTGTGATACAATGACAAGGAGAAGACTACTGAGTATTTCTTAAACTTCCTTAATGTCGTCCTCGCTATCAGCAACCTTTACAGGCGTCGGCATCCGATGCTGAAAAATAATGACGCATTTGTTTTGGATCCACCAGATCTAAATTTGGAAAAAGTTTTGAACTCAACATTATATAGAGGTGCATGTGTGTCAAAAGTACACTGTATTACAGTATATTGTTTTGTTAGTTTCTTTTGTCTTATTTCACATTGTATCTGGTCCTACTTTGTTTTGGTTGTTTGGCTGAGGCTGCTAAATTCAGCTGTTAAATGAGCTACACAAACAGTTTTACAATATGGACAGTAAATCCATATTTCACCATTTCCCTGCAAGCTCACCTTCTGTACATTCCACTTGTGGCTTCTCCCACTGTCCGTTTGCCATACAGCGTATCACAGGGAGGTGGCGCTGTGTGTAGCCTGCGTTACACTGGTAGCGGACTATAGAGTTGACAACATAGTGCGCTCTGCTGCTACCCATTGGGCGACCATTGTCCACCTCAGGGGGAACTCCGCACGTGACTGAAAAAGAAGAAACAAAAAATAATCAATTAATTAAATAACAGACATTAAAGGTTTAGTGGAAGAGTTCACAATTCACAATTCCCTTGCTTCACCCTGCCCTTCCAAGCACGAAGGAGAAACTACGTAATGCACAAAAAACACAAACACCTCTATCTAGGGCCAGTATTTGGTTTGTCTGTTCTGGGCTTCTATAAGAACATGGCGGCCACCACTGAGCGCGACCTATGGCGTTTGTAGATAAAAATGGCTCATTCTGAGGAAACGAAAACATGATTCCTACATGCAAGTCATTATACACTAATGAAAACAGATCCATGAAGATTGTATTAAATTCCAGCCAATAGATCCTTGTTAATGTTACACACTGAACCCTCAAGATTCTTGTTTTTGTGTCATGGTTTAATCCAAAGTGTCTTGCAGTGCATGAAGATGCAGTGTGAATTCCCATTGTTACCTACTGAGCTCCACAGGGCTATCT